GCCGTCGCGTCATCTCTTTCACTTATTTCTGGTGATCAGACGACACAGCTTTGTGTGACTGTTGTGTATTGTTGACCTTCGTTTATTGCTCAGCGTTGTTTGCGTTTCTATTTTGTTACAGGGGTGTATTTTCAGGCTGTTTGATTCATGAAAAGGGTCGATGACTCGTGACTCGTGACTCGTTGGTGATTAACAACAGCGTAGTGTCTGTCGTCTGCGAACGTGTTCGCGTTCTGTTAACGGTACGATGTCGTTGTCCAGTCATTTGGGTGGTGCCAGGTCGTAAAATCGGTCCGTCTCACACCGCACCTCAGCCGGTCAGTTCAAAACCGTTCCAGTCGTTTCGTTCTTCACTACCACCGTTTCTAGTCGATCACTCGAATCGTTGACTATGGACACGCTCAGTTGGATTCTCATCTGCTGGATCTGTCTGGCGGCCGTCATCTTCCTGGTCATGCAGAAGGCTTTCGAGGTAATGCCATCGCTGTCGTACAGAGCGGCGACCAAACGGGACGCCGGCTGTCTGACGGACAGTCGACAGCTGTCGATGGCCACCGCAGTCTCAAACTCGTATCAGTCGATGGACAATCCGACGACGGCGGCAACTACACCAACGACCACGAAGCCCGTTGTCGAATCCGCCAAATGGGTAAACGACTTCTTCCAGTGGCTACTGTCCCGGTACAACGGAACGCCGAACTTCATGCATTCGTGGATCGGCTCGATGAACTCCATATCGCAGAAATTCGCCGAATCGGTAAGCAGCCAAGCGTCAACGTGGTAGTGTTTTTTCTCAGGAAATATGTTGGCCATGCTGTCTTTGCCTCCCCCCCCGCCCCTCCCCTCGGTTCCACAGCTGAAAACAAAAAAAACGAAATCAGCTACACAATGAGGTACGTTAAAAAATTTCCGTAACATTTAATTAAACCAAATACCGGTGTTTAGGATTAAATTGTATTCATCTTCACGGGACATTGTGTAATCGCAATTCCAAGCATTGCTCACATGTATGCATCGCTGTGTAGTGCCGCCGGAGAATAGGTGGTTGTTTTGAAGCTCTCTAAAGGAAACTATGAACGGGCTACATTTAACGGAGTTGTTACCTGCAACGCGATATGACCGGGGTGACAAACAGTGGACGTTCTTTCCAAGACGCCAAGGAAACGTGGACATTAACCAAATCATACAATCATACCATTTGCCATGTTTCGAAATCATTAGCATTAAAATAGTCCCCTACATTCAGCTCGAGTCAGACTGCGGTGGATTGCATTACACTGCTGGACTGACAAATGTCCTATTGATTTGATCAGTAACGGTTTGCTATCCAAAAGACCGTTAGTGTCCGGTTAGAAAACATCGGCTGAGATGAGGCAATGAGCTAAAACAGATGCGGAAACGTGTGACGAAAAATCGTGCGAAACAAATGGGCGTCGGTGATCCAAATGATTTTGTAGTACTTGTTACATAATGTTTTCCTGAACATGGATCCAGCTTGATCTTTATCCAGAACGTCGGGATTTTGTTATATGCGGAGTAAATCCATGATTTAGAAGATTTTGACGCGTTCAAGTTAATAATGTGAGAAGGTGAAAAATTTTTTCTAACACAAAATTTGTCTTCAAAAAAGAGAACTATGAACAACGATTGATTTATTGGTTCTTGGTTGGTGGTTATTAGTTTCTCTATAGAGGAATAGCATACACTGGTTTATTCGTACACAACGCAAACATTTTGGTAACTCAGATGATTGGTACCGACGTTTCGGCTATCGTCACACGCCTTTTTCATCGTACAGAGGTGAATTGACTTCAGAAGTGTCTTTTGCCGTTCGCAGTGGTTCGTAATTTTAGATCCAATAGGTGTTCCGAATTTTGAAGATCAACCTGCCATTCTATCTTGAAGAAGACTCGTGAGACGCGGAACCGAAATGTCGGTATCAGTCGATCATCCAAT